TTAAACATCTTCTCTGCTATTGAAAATACAAATTTAAAAGGTAAAACATTTTATTATTTTCATTTCATTCTTTTTCATTTCTATTTCTGTGTATTTCGTAATGCAAAATAACAAGTGTGATCATTTGTAAACAAACATATACAAGCATGTGTTCAAAAATTTGTTTTAAATTAAAAATGCCATACAATCAAAAACATGTTTGAGTATGCGCCAGAAATCACGTTTGAAGTTATTTGTAGAATAATTCCAGGCCTGGGACAATGAGATTCTTCATTTGTCTCTGCCAGGCTGGAGGGCTGTACTAATCCAGGATTTCCTTCATCCAATTTTAGAGTTTGTGTCACTGGCCCAGACAAAGCTGATCCAAGCTGCAGGTTTATTTTTAGTGTTCCTCATTCCTGTGGGGCTGCCTTTCGGTGTCTCAGCCCTCTGTGCCTCCTCTCCCAGCACCCTGAGTCCAGACTCCAATGCTGTTCTTGGTCCTCTGAGCCCCACACAGCAAGGCTAAGGGTCCTAGGAAGATTTTGGTGGCCTCCCCAGTAAAAGAGCCCCAAAATGTCCTGCACTTATTTCTGGATTCCCATTTTGATCTTCCCCCCACTTTTAGTCCAGTTGTTCCTCAGTATTTTATTGGCTGATTGATAACTTGTGGAAAGTTTTTTCTTTTTTAGTTCTGATTTTTTAAATTGTGTTCAGCTAGAGGTTTGGCTTGATTCATTGAGTCTACATTATCAGAAGCTAACCAAAACATTTAGAGGCTACTATTTCAGACTATGCCAGTATGCTTAAATCATCTCTGGTCTTTCTTCTCTCTCAATCTTCCCTCCATTTTGCTGCCAGAGAAGCATTTTAAAATCTTGTTTATTTTATTCATTAATTCTTGTGGTGTTGGGGATCAACCCCAGGGTCTTGTTCGTGCTAAGCAAATGTTCTATCATTGAGGCATATCCTCAGCTTTTCATTTTATTTTGAATTGCACATAACTTTATTTGTAAGATATAATGTGTTTTTTTGATACACTACATCAGCTAGTGATTAAATCAGGGTAATTGGCACACCCATCACCTTACATATTTATCATTTGGCATAAGACACTTAGAATTCTTCCAGCTATTTTGAAGTTGGCAATATAATATTGTTGTTCTCCTACTAGGAGGTAGAACACTAGAAATTATGCCTCCTGGCTAACTGGAACTTGGACTGTTTCACCCACCTATTTGTATTCTTTTCCCACATACATCCTCCCAGACGCTGGTAACTATAACTGTACTATTAACTTCTACAAGGTTAATTTATTTTTTAGAGTCCACACATGAGAGAAACCAGGTCTTACTTGTCTTTATGGTTCTGTCTTATTTCATTTAATGTTATGGCCTCCAGATTCATCCATGTTGCACCAGATGACAAGATTTCCTTCACTTTTAAAGCTGAAACACATTCCACTGTGTGTATATATTTTCTTTATTTACTCATCCATTGATAAAATCTCACGTTGATTCCATATCTAGGCTATTGTGAATTGTATCACAAAAAACATGGGAGTGTGGACCCCTCTTCAACATACTGATTTCAAATTCATAGGACATACATCCAAAATAGGATTGTTAGGTAAGATAATAACTCTATTTTTTAATCTTTTGAGAAAGTACCACATTATTTTTTCCCAGATAAGTATTTTTAAATGTTTCCATAAAGTCATTTCTCTGCTAAAAAAATAAAACAAAATCCTGACTATTATTGTGGGGTCACTGTATTCTGTTAATTTTGCAAAGCTGGAGTTTCCCAGAAATTACATTCTTGTATGTTTCTACATCAGTGCTGGACAATAAGAGATATATTTCATTCTCTTTGGGAGTTAGCAATGAAGTAGCTGCCAATTTAAAAAGAAATGTTTTGATAGCCTGTTGTAGGCAGCCAGGCATATTTGCTGATCTATCATTAGGTCACTTAATGGGTTGGAAAGTACCCCAAATTATTGGTTTGAACAGTGTTGTTACCCCCCAAATCCACATCCAATTGCAACTTTAGAATGTGTCCTTATTTAGAAATATATTCTCTGCAAACGCAATTACTTGTAGTTACATTAAGATGAGATCACACTGGATTAGGGTAAGCCCTAAATCCAATGTCTGGTGTCCTTACAAGAAAGCCATGTAAAGACACAAACATGCAAGAGACAGGGACACATACAGGCAGAAGTAGAGATTAGAGGGAAACAGCTTGGCCAGGGAATTCCAAAATTTGCCAGCAGTCACCAGAAGCTAGGAAGGACTCTTCCCTAAGGCCTTTGGGAGGAGCCCTGCCAGCACTTTGATTTGAAATTGTCACCTCCAGAGCTGTGAGAGAATAAATTTCAATTGTTGTAAGCCATCCAGTTTGTGGCATTTTGTTACAGTAGCTTTAGGAAATGAAAGTATTCCAGTTCCTGTTTGCTGGTTTCCATCTTCTCCAACATGTTACCTATGGCACTGAGTTTGGAAGTGGGGAGAGGCAGATGTGGGTTTCTTTATAGGACATAACTGTCTTCACTGGATCCTTGCATTTGCAGTCTGCTCTTGCCTCTTCCACGTTCAACTTTTCTTCCCTACTGTTGGTACAGCAAGTTTTAGCTTAATAATAGGCACAGAAGCAAGAGCTGTACCACCTCCCATGTTTGCCTGGGATTTAACTCCTGTAATAAATCTCTTATTCCACACCACTCATGTGGTTCAGCTTCTCTGATAAAACCCTTCTACATCTAGGAAAGATGAACTAAACAGAACCACTTCTACAACCCAGTTCCTTCCGTGATTATGATACAGAATAAAAGTACAAAGGTATTTTTATTACTCCTATTTTATATACATACATAATAGAGGCTTAGAAGGATGATAAGATTCAACCAAGTCAGAATTGAAACCTAGAATTCAGACTCAGAGTCGAATTACAGGACAAGAATTCTCCACCATTGTATTATAACTCTACTACAAATTCCATAGAACTGAAATAGATTATCTTTTCTACGGACTCTTAAAGAACCTTATACTCCTGCTATGATTTGGGGTCTCCCAACGGCCTGTGTTAAAGGTGGGGACCTCAGGATGGCACTAACGGGAATAATGAAACATTACTTTGTATCTATAATTTTGATTCCTCTTTTCCTTCACTGCCCTCCTTCCATCTAATCTATGAGCTAATTCAAAACATGGACATGAGCTATCTGTCCACTTTCACCAACTCTAGCGACTGCCTTAGTCGAAGCTACCATCTTTTACTTAGATTACCATAGATTTTTTGGATTCATTAGGTGTTCCTGGGCAGTTTTAACAGGTTCCTAAGTGACCCTGCTGACCCGGAGGTCATTTTTTGAGAACCATAGCTTGAAAGTACATGTTAGAATAGAAGGAATAGGAGCTTTTAAAAACTACTGCACTTGGGATCTGCCTCCAGAACTTCTGATTCATTCAGTCTGGGATGAGCTCTGGCCAGGTGTAATGTAAAATCTCCCCAGGTGATTCAAAACGTGCATTCAGAATTGAGAAACACTGCCAAGGCTTAGGAAAGTGCCAAGTCTGAGTGCTCCTGGTTGGTTTTGCACAAGCAGCTCCTGTTACCTCACAAGCTCTTCCTTGAGGTCTTTCTATGGCTGGATCTTTTTTGTCAGTCAGAACTTAAGTCAAATGTTACTTCCTCGGGTAGTTTCCCCAAACCAAAGTAACGCCTCCGTCTTGTCCACACTATCCTGCTTATTTTCATTCCACGAATTTGCAGTTCCTGCAGTTTCCCTATTTATACTCATTGTCTGTATCTTCTAACTATAATAGAAGCATTTTAAACATAGGCACTTTGTTTACCTCATTCATTGCTATAACCCCAGCACCTAGAACACTGCCTGGCACCTACAGGTATTCAAAAAGGTGTGCGAATGAATTCTTAGAATAGTTTCTTTCTGTGTCTTAACCATATTTTTAAAAAATGTGTTTCATTTATGCAATACAGTTGAATCATTTATGTAAAAAAGCATAAACTGATATTTTCTTCAATAGATTTTAATTGCATTGGACTCATTTTCTCTTCACAGGAACACTAAGTCTTTTGCAAACAAAGTAATTACTGCTTATTTTCATAGAGTATTTGTTGACGATGCTATTTCATAGGGAATACACTGATGCATACACCAACGCACACACTAATGCAGCGGGGAACAGCTAATATTTATTAAGTCAAGAAACTTCTGCTTAGATTAGAAACTTCTGTTTTAGAGACAGAAAACAGGGAAAAGTCATTGCAGAAGAGAAGAGAACTACTTCAGGGAGCATCACTCACAGGAAAATGTAAAGGTTCTGATTCTTCCTAAAAGAGGGGCACACTTATCCTTTTCTGGGGGCACTGTTTTCACAAATGAGTGTAACCTGGCTAAACCGGGGAGCTTTAATTCAGGTATCTGTTTAAATGCGGCAAAATCTTCAGTTGTGGGTCATACAGGTCTCTTGGTTTCAAAGACGCAGCTGACTCAAACTCCCAATTCAGGTAGATGAATTAAGGACACAAACAGATGTCATTTCTGAAACACGTTACCTATAGAAACACAGATCACAACGTCCATTTCTGGGGGAAAAGGGAGATTCTTGGCTTTGAACCTTATGTTGGACCAGGACCGCTTCCTTCACAGTCCCAAATACCCAACCTTAGCTCTAGGTACTAGGGCTGGGTTCACGGGTAACCAGTTTTTCAGGCAGCCGCCTCCCTTCTCCTCCCTCGGTATACTTAAAACGACTCTGTGAGCCAAGCAAGGGCTGAAGTCTCACTGGAACTTCGGCACAGTGCAGAACAGGGTAGTCTACCGCGCGCGCTGCGAGGAAAACAGCGATTCACAGTCCACCGAAAGAGAAGTGGGCGCAGAAAGCCGAAAGGCTCAGGGGGCGGTGGGAGGGTGGGAGTCGCGAAACCCCGAGCGACGAGGCATTCTGGGAGTTGTAGTTCCTGCGAAGCTTCCCCCTGCGGCCTCCGTCGGGCTCTGTACTCCATCTCCCAGCCATCCCCGCGCCGCGGCGGAGGCGAGCGGAGGGGGCGCTTGGTGCTAGACTGCTACACCGGGAGGGGGGCTTGGTCTGAGCGGCAGCCGCGACTGCCGCCTGGAGACGTTGACATCCGGCTTCCCTTGGGACCGAGAGATTCGCCCGCGGGCGGCAGCCAGGGCCTTGTGGCTGCCGTGCGTCTCCGTGCTCGCTCTCTCCTCAGACGCGCAGCGTCCGCCATGGAAGCGCATCCGGCCACCGCCGGGGTCTCCGGGCGTCGCGGCCCCGGCTCCCCGGAGCGATGAGAGGGTAGGGGCGCCCCGTTCCGTCCGCCCCCGAGAGAAGGAGGGTTGGGGATCGGCCGCGCCGCAGTTCTAGCCTCCGTGCTCTCCCCGCCCCGGGGGTGCTGCCGACGGGTGCCCGCCGCCCATGCCGTCCCGCGGCCGCGCAGCCCACCGCTGAAGCCCGCGCAGTACTGCCAGCTGGCCGTGCCCTGAGGCCGCTACCCTTCTCGGCTCAAGATGTGGCACCACGTGGGGCTGACCCTGCTGGTGTTCGTGGCCACGCTGCTGATCGTCTTGTTGCTGATGGTGTGCGGTGAGTGGGGGCGCCCTCCGTGGAGCGGCTCCGCGCGCGCGCTGGGCTCGGGTCGCTGGCTCGCTGGTGCTGTCTGGTCCGGAAGCCTTCCGCGACTGCCAGCCCCCGGCATGGACTGACAAGCGTGTTAAAGTCATTTGTCGTCTTCTTCCCTCCCACGAGTGAGTTCCCAGGAGATGCACCCCTGGCCCGCTGTCATCTTAGAGAAGGACGGGGCATCTTTCACTCCACATTAAACCCGATATCTTCAGCGTCTGCCCTTGATTTCCATCCTTGCCTCTGACTGCCCAGATTTTCACTGTGGCCTGTACTCGAGGGGGAAGTATTTGGTTACTCCTTATTCTTTTTGACATATTTTGATCCTAATGGTAATGGTAGGTTTCACTGTTTTTATGTAATTAATGGAGGATTGGCACACACTTTGGTTTGCAGAACATGTGAGATTGTTTGTTTACTTCGAGTTCAGGCTTCAGCTAAATTCCTAGCAAAGATGTTGAGAACAGGCAGAACTTAGAAAACACCAGCTATATTAAACTTCCAGGGTCAGGTAATGTAACCCTCTGTTCTGCAGTAATGGCACTATTTTGTTTGCCATGGGTATTTTCCTTCTTGGAATGAGAGCAAGTTAAACTCGCTTTCAAAGCTATGTTAGTAGAATTGTAGATCTTTTTTCTTTGTACACAGTAACTGATAACCACGGGTCTCAGCAAAGAGGCTTAGCTGTAGTGAATATTTGAAAAGTATTTCGAATGTGAATTTATGTTTACAATTATGGGTTCACATTGATGTAGCAATTGGCCAGAATTCAAAATAAATACTATAGAGAGCTTCTTCATCACTACACACTGCGCAGTTTAGAGCTATGTTTGGAGAATGTATGTGTGTCCTTGTGCATATAGATATACCTGTATGTTATGCATCTTTTTAAATTTGGTGGTGGATGGAACCCAGACCTCACAGGACACCAGAACTACAGCTTATTCATACAGCTTTTCTAAGAAGATAAAACAATTGAATAACCTCTTTCAATTACCTACTTGTGATATCAACATTTAGGATGGATTGTAGATGTTTTAAGTTCTTGAAGTAAGGAAAACCGGATCCTTGTGATTTATTTATATGTTATGAAGCATATCTTACCCTTTCTAATTTGAACCTACGACCTGCCTAGACATGGCTGTATGACCTACAGCCCATATCACACTTTGGATAGACTAGTTGCCAAACTTCCTTTGAGACATCAGAATTTGACCTCTTTTTTGTGTCTCAAGTTATTTGACTATTTATTTTTACTCATTTTTCTAAAAGTGCCTTTAGTTTCAGGAAGTGTGGAATAAGAGAAGTGGAGTATAACACCCTATTTTGATTGGAGTGGTCAAGAACTAATAGTTTTATGAAATAGTCCAAATGAATTTTCTTCCTGGGAGACCTGGCCTCTTGTTTTCACTGGGATGGGCCTTGGGCTTGAGGAGAGGAGAGGAGTTAGCCAGAATTAAGAAATGAGTGTGCTATATTAGCTACTATGGCAAAATACCACCGACTGGATCACTTAAACAACAGAAATTCATTTTCTCACATTCCTGGAGGCTTGAACTCTTGAGATCAACGTGCAGTCAGGGTTAATTTTCTTCTGATGGCTCTGTCCTTGCCTTTGTGATAAACATCTTCTTGTATCTTTACGTGACCTTTCTCCTCTATTTGTGTCCTGATCTTTTCATTACACAATGTGTAATATTAGGCTATGCTTGTGGAAAATATATGTGCTTGTGCAAATGCCTATGCTTATGTTATCCAACTGTATTATGACTTTCATCCTTATGACCTCATATAACATTAATTACATCTTTAAAGGCCTTATCTGCAAATGCAGTCATATTGGGAGTTAGCACCTTGGCCTATGAATTTGCCGGGAAGGGTCATTGTTCAATGTGTAGCAAACACCAGTGTCTTCAGCACTGACTGAATGTAGAGAACAGGTGGATAATTTAGGTTGATACCCATAAAACTATTGTCCTTAACTTTCTGGTGGTCACAAGCCTTTTGAGAATCTAGTGAATGCTGTGAACAGTTAGAAAATATACAAGTATACCATTTTCTCCCTGTATCAGATTTCATAGACTCCCCTTCCTTAAACCCAAATGTGAAGGCTCAGATTAGAAGCCTGTGCCCTTGGAGCGAGGTCTTCTGTTTGCTAATTTCATTCAATTCAGCACACTGAATACTGAATGCCATGTTCTGGAAACAGACTATATGATGGGATCTGCCGGGAGGCATTATCTTAGTTAGAACTCAGACAGGCTGTTAGTGAATTCTGATGTTCAAATTTAGGGGGCTTGGGGGTGGGAATAAAGCTCAGTGGCATAGTACCTGCCTGGCAAGTATGAGGTCCTGAGTTCAGTTGCCCCCAACAACTTAAAGGAGATTTTCCTCTGTCTCTATTTGTTGTCTGCTTTCTCACCTGTAATTCATTCTAAAATGTTTCCATCCTCCTCAATTCACTGAAGCTGACCTTATCAAGGTCAGTGACAAATGGTCTCCTGGGGATTTGCCTCAGTCCTGCTTGAGCCTTTTCATTCTCACAGAGTTGAGCTCTCTCTCTCTGAGAAGCATTTCTTTTGGCTTTTTTTTTTTTTCTTTCTTTTTTTGAGACAGGATTTCACTATAGGTTAGGCTGGACTTGAGCTCACTTTGTTTCCCAGGCTGGTCTCGAACTCCCAGGGATCCTCCTGCTTGACCTTTATACTCTGCACTTTCATGGTGTTTTTCAATAATGGCTCTAATTATCTTTTTCTGCTTCTCATCTAGAATTTAACCTTTTGACCATGACTTAAGTGGGTAATACATTATTGCCATTACTTAACGTAAGTATAAATTACATGAGTCACTGTGTTTATATATACCTATCTACCTGTCACCTCTGAAATAGAAATTTATAAACTAGTACTTGCTTTTATGTCAGAACATGCATGCTATTTTCAAGTTTTTCTGTTGTACTTCTATAATGTATAGATATGTATTACAGTTAGCGTTTTGTTTTGTTTTGGTAGCAGTGCTAGGGATCAAACCTGGAGCTTGGTGTGTGCTAGCCAAGTACTCTAAGCCTGAATCACATCCCCTACCAATCTGTTTCTATCTTCTTTTACCTATTCTCTCTTTTTCTTTTTTTGAGCTAGGCCTTGCTCTGCAGTTCAGGCTGGCCTCAAACTCTTGGCAATCCTCTGCTAGTGTGCTACCACACCCAGATCTCCCTATCATATCTACCCAGTCCTAGAGGTTTTAAATATCAACTGTAGCTAAAGACTCTAAGGTTTTTATTTTTCAATTTTTGTTCTTGTGTTTGAGAAGGGTCTTGGTATGTCGTTCAGGCAGACCTTGGACTCACCATGTGCCCTAGGCTTGCAGTAATCCCCATGCCTCAGCCTCCCAAGTGCCAGGATTACAAGCATGTGCCACATGTCTGGCCACTTTACAGTTTTTATCTCTAGCCTTTCACGACTCTTGAGCCCAAATTCATGCATCAGACTTTCGTTGATAACTCAGTTTGGAGCTCTAGTAAGGATCTCAAATTTAATACATCTAAAACAGAACCCTTAATTTGTAGCATCTTGTTTCTCCCCACCCCTCATGTTCTTTGTACAAATCTTATGTTTTGTCACCTTAAAAAATAGATCTCTGTGACCACCAGGCTGCTGTCAGCCACTGTCGCCTCTACCACCACCACCACCACCACCACCACTGCCACCATCAGCTTGCCTTAGTTTCCTAACTTAGTCGTTATTCCAGCCCATCTTGTCTTTGTATCCACTTTTCACATACTGGCCAGACTGTTACGATGAGAAAATAGTTTATCAAAAGTTGTAACAGAAGAATAAAGTTTCACAAGTTAGTAGTAGTTATAAAAAATACTTTTCAACCCTCAGTTTCATCTTCCTCCAGATTATTGACATCTTTATTTCTAAATAACATTTATTTTTAGCTCTGAATTTTGCAGTTTTAGACATTGTTAACTCTGTGCTTGCCATTAATAACACAATTTTTGGTTAACTATAGGATTTATATTTGATCAGATGGTATAATATTCTCCATTTCTCTTGAAATAGGTAATTTTTTAAGGTGCCATGTATCACATTTTTGTCAGTACCCTTTGTTACTTGTTCCCTTATTTTCATAACATAATTACACACTTATGAGTAGTCCCCATATTTTCAAAGGAGTTGCTGTTCTCTTTCCCTGACCCAGCCCAGAGCTCTCCTTTCTGTCACTCACACAGAAAGCTGTATAATTTCTGCTTCCCGTGTTCCAACCCTGTTTTCCGAGTCTCATGTTATCCTCTTTCTCAGTTAACACTGTGTTTTGTGGGAGCACATTTTCTAGTAGCTTTCTAGGAAAATGCCTGGAAAATAGTTTTTTGAGCCAATGTGTACTCTAGAATGTCTTTTTTTTCTCCTCACCAATAATTTATATAGACTTGAGATTGAAAATCATTTTCATTTAGAGCTTAAAAATTATTACTTTGTTAATTTCAAAGTTCCAGTCAGATTTAGAGAAATCTATTGTATTCTTTTTGTCCTTACAGATTTTATTTTGTTTTTTCCCTTCTGGTTATTTTTTGGATAGCCTTTTATCCAAAGGTATTCCGAAAAGTCTTAATGAGATACCTTGTATGTGTCTCTTCCAATTTTTCTGGGCCGTTTCAGTTTAGAATTTTTTTCTTCATTTCCGGGACTTTTTCCCACTATACTCGGTAGCTTTCTTTCCTCGTTTTTCTGCATGTTATGTGTGAATTCCTTGAAACTTCTGTTAGTTGAATATTGGATCTCTGCCTGATCTTTAATTTTATCACCTATTTTCTATCTTACTCCCAGCCTTCTCCTTGCTTCCAGGAGATATTTTCATTTTTATCTTCTGTCTTTTATGATGACTTTTTACCTTAGCTATAGTTTTAATTTGAGCTTTCTTGTTCATTGATTATTTCTCCTCTGTAGTACTGTTCTTACTGC